AGTGGACTGACTGCAGGGGGGTTGGACTCGATGACCTCTAGTGGTCCCTTCCAACCCAAAACATTCTATGATTCTATGATTCTATGGCACACTAAGTGGTTTTTTGATGGAAACAAGTTCTTGAATGCTACCTTTGTCCGTATTTCATATGAATGAGTGAACCATTTGCACTAAAAAACTTGATTTGGAAATCCAAATCTGTGAACATGGCTTAGAAGGAATTGTGCCTGACTAGGAAACAGGAAAGCACATAGGTATGAGAGCGCTGCAGGTTCTGAAGCTCTCTCCGCTCAGCATTTGGCTGTTGATCCTCATTTAAGGCATCTGATTTGACTAGGTACTACGTGTTTAATTCTGATTTTCTATACTTATGTATACACACACACACACACACACATATATAGATAGTGCCCAAATGGAGACTGAAGACTGCTTGGAGAGCTAGGTGCCTGAAATTGAATGCTTGGTGTTGCGTTAGTGCATTTGTCTTGAAAAAAGTTCAGCTTCTGTTCAGATGCTTTTAAATATTTAGCTCTTACTCAGGTGTACTTGGTGGATAAATGTACCATATTTTTATTTCCAAGCATGGTAAAAATGTCAGGTTCTTTTAGTATACTTGGAATGCTGTGTGTGTGATGGAAGATCCATTATTTTAGTAGTGTGAAACACACTGTCCAGATGATGCTGTTTGAGAAGCTCTATTAAAAAATGTCCTGATTTCACCTTGCCTTTTCCATGATTCATAGTTCATCAGGTTTTTCCTGGTTAAAACTTGGCAGTAACCTTTTCAATTATGACTTAAATCTTAATTCTAGCAACTGGTTCCTTTTTGTGTTTTCCTTAATTTTTTTTTCTCTCTAAAAAATCAATAGGCTTTTATCTTGTTTGAAGACACTTGCAATACAGTTTAACAATTCTAAATCTTAGGGTCTAATTTAGAGGCATATATTTGAAAATCTATTTGTTATCTGAATTACCTTTTGCCTTTTAAAATGATATATGAAGCTTAGCACTGGATGAAAGCTATACTGTGAGATTTATGTATGGGGTTTTTTTTTCCTGTTTTTTAACCTACATTTAAATTTTTGACCTACTTTTCTTTAAATGTAGATCACCAGATTACTTTTATACTCTTTTTACTGGTAGATCATTTTGGCTCTGATTCAGGGGTCTCTCAAGTGTGTACCCATCACTGCTTTTCAAATAAGTTTAGTGCTCTAGTTTTGAGCATTTCTGCTTGTATATTTCACTGTTCTCTCCATAGTCAATTTTGGTACTGTTTAATTCCAAGGCAGTGTCATGAATATGTTAAGTTAAACTTTTATGTAAATCATAGATGCACTGTAAGCTTTGCCCTGTGTTGTGGTTTAACCCCAGCTGGCAACCAAGCACCACGCAGCTGCTTGCTCAACCTTCCCCCAGTGGGATGGGGGAGAGAATTGGAAGGGCAAAAGTAAGATAACTTGTGGGTTGAGATAACAGTTCAATGTTTGAAATAAAATCATAATAAAAATTTGTAATGAAAAGGAAAACAAGAGAGAAACAAACCCAGGAAAAACAAGCAATGTGGTTGCTCGCTACTAGCTGACCAATGCCCATCCCATCCCTGAGCAGCAACTGCTGTCCCCCTGGCCAACTCCCCCCAGTTTCTATACTGAGCATGACGTCATATGGTCTGGAATAGCCCTTTGGCCAGTTGGGGTCAGCTGTCCTGGCTGTGCCCCCTCCCAGCTTCTTGTGCCCCTGGCAGAGCAGGGGAAGCTGAAAAAGCCCTGTACTGGTGTAAGCACTGCTTAGCAACAACTAAACCATCAGTGTGTTATCAACATTCTCATACTAAATCCAAAGCACAGCACTATGCCAGCTACTAGGAAGAAAATTATCCCAGCTGAAACCAGGACACCCTGTGAATGTTTAAGTGGTTCATTTTGCTCATCTGAATATTAATTTCAATGGGACTAGTCATAATAGTAAAATGTAATTTTGAGGTTTTGTTCACTATACTACTAATCTGTTGGGGATTAAAGCCTGAGTGATTTACAGAAGTGCATTCCTTTGATTTGTAGTGTAAATAAAACTGTGCTCCTGTTTAGATAAAATACACTGTTTCTAAGTGAAGATTTATTTTCTTCCTTGTAGGTGATAGCAGCTGCAAAAAGGGGATTCAAAGCAGTTGGTTATGAATTAAATCCCTGGCTAGTCTGGTACTCCAGATACCGTGCCTGGAGAGATGGGGTACATCAGAACACCAAATTTTATATTTCAGACTTATGGAAGGTAGGTGGTGACATATGTAAGAATGAATCTGGGATGTTTGAGAGATTTCCATAATTTGGAAATACTTTCTTAGAAGAACCAGAATGCTGACTGGCCTCAAGGTGCTGTATTTGGCTTTGAGAAAAGTACTCGAGCCTGTAGAAACTAGATGCAGCACAGTACGCTGCTCTCCTGGTTTTGTGCTTTGGTGAAGTGCTGTCCTGTTTCGGTACAGGCTCCTTGAGCATACTGTGTCGTGCTTGTGCCTGATGAATGGTGTCCTGTAATGCCAGGCTTCACTGAGAGCTGATTCTGTGGAGTCAGTAACAAGACGCTTATTCACATAATGTGCAAGATCACAGTCTCATCTGGCATTTCATTAGATGTGTTCTTTTCTAGCTGTGCAGTGCATTACCTGGTTTTGAGTGTTGCTGGAAGGTCATTTACATACATGTGACTGATCATACCCCTGTACTGGGCCCTGGTGAGGCTGCACCTCCAATACTGTGTTCAGTTTTGGGCCCCTCACTTCAGGAAAGATGTTGTGTTGCTGGAACATGTCTGGAGGAGAGCAACAAAGCTAGTGAGGGGTCTGGAGCACAAGTCTCATGAGGGGCAGCTGACGGAACTGGGGTTGTTTAGCCTGGAGAAGAGGAGGCTGAGGAGAGACCTTATTACCCTCTACAACTGCCTGAAAGGAGGCTGTAGCGAGGTGGGTGTTGGTCTCTTCTTCCAGGTAACAAGCGATAGGATGAGGGGAAATGGCCTCAAGTTGCGCCAGGGCAGGTTTAGGCTGGACATTAGGAAAAATTTTTTCACTGAAAGGGTTGTCAAGCATTGGAGTGGGCTGCCCAGGGAAGTGATCAAGACCCCATCCCTGGAGGTCTTTAAAAGATGGGCAGACAAGGTGCTTTGGAATATGGTTTAGTGGTGGGATGGCAGTGTTAGCTTAACGGTTGGACTTGATGATCTTAAAGGTCTTTTCCAAAATAAATAATTCTATGATTCTATGATTGAGATTTTTTCATAATTTTCAGTCATTTGAGTCACAATTGGTGCTTTAATGAGGTGTGCTTTTTTGGGTCATGTTTATGCAAAATAAATAATTCTATGATTCTATGATTGAGATTTTTTCATAATTTTCAGTCATTTGAGTCACAATTGGTGCTTTAATGAGGTGTGCTTTTTTGGGTCATGTTTATGTGGGCCTCTTCCTTGCTATTCCCATCAAAGTTGTGGGGGTTTTTTTTGTTTGTTGATGGTTTGTAGGGTTTTTTTTTGTTTTGTTTTGGTTTTTTTTAAGAATGCCATTTTGTAATGGGTAAAGCTGATACTGGTAATTTTGGGAAAAAGTGTGAATGTACTATTTTTACGTTTGTTCAAAGTGGAGCACAGGAAAACTTCATAGCACTGACTAGAAGAACCCAGGCATTAGAATGCATGGCGAGTTTTTTATAGTGAGCTAACATTTAACAAAAGTGGGGGCAAACTTAAAACATATGTCATTTTAACATATACAGGAGTTGTGGAAAAACTTAGCCATGAGTAAAAACGTGAAGGTGTTTTCTAAATTAATACTTTCTGTGCTACTAGAATTGGTGCCATATTCTTGGCCAGACAGTAGTAGTTTTTTGCTGTTCAGCAATGTAAAGTTGTCTTTATGTGGAAATGTGTGTGATGAAAAATTGATATGGGATCTCCTTTCTTACTTTTGGTCTAAATCCCTGTTGAAAGGAGTGCAGCTGGAGGGATTAGGGGAAAAGAATGGTGAGAACTTCTCCAAATATGAACTTCATTAAGACTTGTTCTCAAATTTTATTTTAGGTTTCTTTTTCCCATTATACGAATGTTGTTGTTTTTGGGGTACCTCAAATGGTAAGTTTACTCCTTTTGCATTGTTTAATTATTTTCATACCAAGGCAATCAATGTTATTACATTCACCTGCAAAATGAACCAACCTGCAGAATGTCAAAGGTAGTTAGTACTAGTATTTCCACATTTCATTGTTGCTTATTAGTGCGCATAAGACCTTATAAAACTTGTGACAGTATGCAGACCAGAGCCCTGAAAATATACTTGGTTTTTTAAGAAGTATTTTCTGTCCATTAGTTCAAAACCAAAATGAAAACGGGTGTGCTCAAGTTTGGGGGAAGTTGATAGATTGTTTCTTGAAAATTTCAGTTTTTCATACTAAAAGACCAAGGAGTTTTCAGGGAGAGGATGGAGTAGGAAATTGTCTAGGGCTGATTTTTGGGAACCTTGTTAGCGGAGAGTATTGAACTTTGCTTATGTTCTTCTCCAAAAACTGGATCACCTCAAATAGGCCAGCAGTTGCAATATTGAAATGATCCCTTGCCTATGTTAGATTGTGAGGGTTTAGGAAGGGAGACAAATACTTCAAATATAATTGCTAGAGTATAAGTCCACAAATTCTTTGCCTTTTAGGAAGGCTTTGTAGCCTGTGTTCATCATGCCCCTGGGGAAAATGTGTTCTTCAAAACTGGTGTCGAGATTAGGTTGCATAGTGACTGCTTTTGTAAGATATTCAATATATTCAGTCAGACTTTACATTCACTTTGGCTTTTGGCTTGATCTATTTTTCTTTTTCTCATTTTACTAGAAAAGACAAAAAAAACCTTAAATATTTAAATATTCTTGATATTTTGATTTATTATTAGAATCTTCTATATAGGTTGAATGCATATGGAGGAGTGCAACAGAAATATCCTATAAATGATTCTGTATTGCTTCTTCCTCTGCTAAGGCAGATGTGGGATGAAATGACTGAATGTGATTTATGTGATGCTATACCATACAACATACACTGGTAATATTTCTGTAGTAGTAACAGGAAGGTGCAACAAGAAGCATAATAAAGCTTCCCTATTCTGTGCTTTTGCTTTAACAGCATTAGAATTAAATACCTGCTTCAGATTCAGTTTGAAACTCATGATTTTTCCCCCCCCCCCCTTACTTTTGTGGGTGGCATATTAGTGACAACTATGATGTTACTTGTGCTACAGGTGTTACCAGGTTTGGATGTTATGTGCTCTCTAGCTTGAGTTCCCAGTGGGGGCAGTATGAATATTTGAATTTGCAGTCAGAAATTCTGCAGTTGCACTGAGTGCAGGTGAAAGAAAGATATTTCAGTAAACTAGAAATAAACGAATGCCCTGGGAAAATGTGAGTAAACCTAGCAGAAATATTGGCTTAATTTTAAACACAACAGTATAAAGTGGGATAAATTAGTAACAGCTATGATAGAAAGAGTAGCTGTGAGGCTCAGAATAACTTCAGTAAATACTAGGCTAAATTCTTCAAATAAAAATACTGTCATAAATGTAACAGATCCAAACATATGAACTACTGTGTTTCCTGAGCATTTGTTTGCTCATGATGCCCTTTAAATTTACTTCGGAAGCTGTGAATGCATAGCCTCCTGAATGACTAAATTGATTTTTTAGGAGCTTTGATGCATTTTCTCTTTTTTACTGAGGGCAATAGATCTCTCTAGCTTTTTTAATAATACTGGTCTGATTTGATGCTGTCACACAGTGCTCTTATTTCATATCCAAGGTTAGCTTACAGAACTTGGATTTATTGATCTTCAGGGGAGACTAAGACCTCTCTGTTCTTGCAAGCGCTTGGGGGGAAGGTGTGTTTATTTATAAGTCATTGCACAGAGACTTTTACTTGTTCAGGCTGGGATGACAGAATTCTTACCAGGTATTCATGTTCACAGCTGCTGTGTATTTTAACTGATTAAATACTGTACAAAAGGTTTACTAAACTATATCTATGTAGACATACCAAAAAACCCCAGCCCTGGCTTGATATGAAATACGGTATGATTATAACACCTGGTGTTACTGAGAGATTTAGCTTAAAAACCAGTTTGACTGTTTGGTTCAAGGATACAGTTCTTTTTGGCTGAACTATTAATGAAGTTTAATGAGTACTTACGAAAATTAGTAACATCTCACATCTATATAGTGGAGGCCCCATCCCTGGAAACATTCAAGGCCAGGTTGGACGGGGCTCTGAGCAACCTGATCTAGTTAGCGGTGTCCCTGCTCACTGCAGGGGGGTTGGGCTAGATGACCTCTAGGGGTCCCTTCCAACCCAAAACATTCTATGATTCTATGATTCTGTGATACTAGCTTAAATTAGAAAAAGTTAGGCTATGTCTGTGCCTGTAATTTCTGTAACAACTTAGTCCTTCCTTTTCTGGTGTCTCAGCTCAGTTTGGGATACCAAAGTAGGCTTTATGTTTCTAGTTTATTTAAGGTCCTGTAGCAAAAATGTTTAAAAGCATTTGCTGTATGGATGAAATCAGGGCATAGAATGCTTAAAAATACTCAGAGGTCATTCTTTGATATAGTAGATCTATGACTATAATTTTCCTAAAATATTCCATTGTAAGCTTAAATGTAGCTATAATAGGATGTTACATCAAAGGCATACCCTGCATGTATGTGATAGTGGAAGCTATCTGCAGCCTTTGGAAATATATTTTCCTCAGTCAGTCTTGTTTTCTAATAATGTTCTGTTGTGGTTGGTTTTAGGTTTTTTGTGAATTTTTAATATATTTTTGTTTTGTTTTTTGTGACTTACATTGAGCTTTATTTGTAATAATTACTGTCCTTTTAGCCTTTTACTATCTAAATGTTATGTCATGATATCAAAATAAATCGATTTTAACATGTGATAGAAGTAACCCGTGGAGCTTGCTGTTATAATTACTCCCCAAGACAGATACAGTATGTAAGAATAAAAGGAATTTTAAATGGATGTGCACTGATCTGCTTAAGCATAACATAAGGACAAAAATGGCTAAATCTATCAAGTTGCATTTTTTTTTTTCAGAACATAATCACTATCTGGGATGGGAATGAAATTTCTTTGAAGTCTAGCTGCGTTAATTCATTTCTCGCTTAATCCATAGCAGAATTTTCAAAGTACTTACTGGAGATAGAGTATCTGTCTGGGCAGGGCGTTGCTATGTTCTGGAAGAGTAGTGATATTTCCCTTGACTTTCATATCTGCTCAATTTTTGCAAATGGAGGAAAACTAGACTGTAGGTCTTCAAACAAGGAGAATTGCACAGTGGTATTTGACACAGTCCCCCACAACATCCTTCTCTAAATTGGAGACAGATGGATTTGATGGGTGGACTATGCGGTAGATAAGGAATTGCCTGGATGATTGCATCCAGAGAGTAGTAGTCAACGGATCAATGTTGAGATAGAGATAAGTCCAGAGGGACCTGAACAAACTCGAGATGTGGGCCTGTGTTTAACCTCATGAGGTTCAACAAGGCCAAGTGCAAGGTCCTGCACCTAGGTCGGAGCAGCCACTGGCATCAGTACAGGCTGGGGGGTGAAGGGATTTAGAGCAGCCCTGCGGAGAAGGACTTGGGGGTACTGGTAGATGAAGAGCTAGACATGAGCTGGCAATGTGCACTCGCAGCCCAGAAGGCCAACCGTACCCTGGGCTGTATCAAAAGCAGCATGGCCAGCAGGTCGAGAGAGGGGATTCTGCCTTTCTGCTCCGCTCTGGTGAGACCTCACCTGGAGTGCTGCGTCTAGCTCTGGGGTCCTGGCACAGACCCAATGGAGCAGGTCTGCAGGAGGCCACAAAAATGATCCAAGGGCTGGAGCACCTCTCCTATGAGGCAAGGCTGAGAGAGTTGGGCTTGTTCAGCCTGGAGAAGAGAAGGCTGCGGGGAGACCTGATTGCGGCCTTTCAGTACTTAAAAGGGAACCCATAAGAAAGATGGGGACAGACTTTTTAGTAAGGCCTGTAGTGACAGGACAAGGGGTAATGGTTTTAAACTGTAAGAGGGTAGATTTAGACTAGATATAAGGAAGAAATTTTTTACAATGAGGGTGGTGAAACACTGGAAGGGGTTGCCCAGAGAGGTGGTGGAGGCCCCATCCCTGGAAACATTCAAGGTCAGGTTGGACGGGACTCTGAGCAACTTGATCTCGCTGAAGATGCCCCTGCTTATTGCAGGGGGTTTGGACTAGATGACCTCTAATGGTCCATTCCAACCCAAACTGTCCTATCACTTTATATGCTGTTTCATACAGTAGTGCTTTAGGGACTTACATGCATATGTCAACAGGCTGGAGCCAGTAAAGCACAATTTCAGTAGTATTTAACATACCAGTACTTTACCATACAGTGACAGCAGAATGTTTGCTTTGGGTTGTTGGCTGTATGATATTTTGAGTGTCCCAGGATCTGTCTCAGGGTTACACTGGAAATTGAGAGGCGTTGGCCTTTGAGTATCATCGCATAGTAGTTCATGTGACTTGAGGTGTCATAAATAGCATAAATTCAGAGGGCTGCACTTTCATTCTGTTACAGAGAAGAATCCCACTGAATAGAATCATGAATTGGAACATGCAAAGTCTTAATTTGTGTTTGTTTTTTTTTTTTAATCTAAGGGTTTATCTATGGTTTTTGATTGAATTTTTAGAACTTAGAGTTACGATTTTCTTGATCTCACCAATCAGGGCACAATAACAACTTTCTAGTTTTAGATATTCTTTGTCAATACATGAAAGCCAAAACTTATATCATGAATACTTTCCTAAATTTTCTTCCGAAAATTCTGCAAACCTTGGACTTCTCTTGAACACTTGAATGAGATTCTAAAGAGAATGCCTCTGGTTTTTACTGCTTCTGAAAGCTTTTTATTGTTGCTCAACAGATGCCACAGTTGGAGAAGAAGCTGCAAAAAGAACTTGAATGTAATTCCAGAATCATTGCCTGTCGGTTTCCTTTTCCTTGCTGGATCCCAGATCATACAACTGGAGAGGGAATAGACACTGTGTGGGTCTATGATTTGAAACGTTCTAGAGGATGTGAAACAAAAAACTTGGGAATTACACCAAAGACAGAATCCTAAACATCTGATTTGGTTTTGTACTGAAAGTTTTGTCTTTGACTTCACCTGTTAAAGATAAGTTTAATGTGAATAGAGCCCCAGGATATGGAGATATATATGCACTAATATAACTGAAGTACACCAGTTATCTGAAAGCACACAAAGATTAGTGAAAGGTGTAGTTAAATGGCTTAATGTAGTTAGTAAAAATTATGAGAAAGTTTAATAGAAGCGGAAAACTTTAATATGGAAAATGGGATAAAACATGGTTCACTACTGTTAAGGGGAATATATGTGTAAGTTAAAATGCTCAAATTGGCGAATTTAATATGTGCATTCTTTCTGAACCGATGTAGCGTTTGTTATTGGTGTTGGAAGTGGTGTGCAAGTAGCTTCTCAAATGAGCCGTGGTTCCCAAATGTCTTAATTATGTATGCCAAGTAGGCATAATGCTGCATACGTCAAACTGATGCAGACTGAGTATGATGATAATACCAATGTTTTACACCTCAGCATTGAATGTGTACTTTTTAAAATTGAGTATGACGTAACAAGCAAATATAACAAGTTGCTTATTCATTAATAGACGTGCAGCCCTTGATTATGTTCATGTGTTTTTATTTAACTTGTTATGTGAAGACAAAACTGCAGAAATATGCTCTTACTCAATGCTTACTGGTATAAGCCTTTGCAAATGACCATGAATCTTCCTAACCTCTCTGATTTAGGAAGGGTTTCAAAAGTCACCCATTTGGCAGTGAAGTGGTCACCACTTCTGTGTGCTCAAGCCTTGAATAAGGTACGGGTGAGAGTTTCTTATCTGAATGTGTCATGAAGACAGTCTCCGATTCCAGAGCTAGCTGGTCTGGCTAGCTTGGTTAAATCTGATTAGATCTCATTTAATTTATAGTGAGATGGGAAGGAGGTTTTCAGTCAGGCTGCTTTTCCCCTCTGCTTTTCTGTGCCATCTGATGAGATCTCAAACTCATGGCATTGTTGCATGGCTTTTCCTTGGAAGTGAAGCAAGTTCTCCCTGTCCTTTTGCTGATACTGGTTTGCAGTGGGGTATTGTTGCTGCTGTGACATTTTCCTTTTCTAACGTCGTTGCAGCACTCTTCTATTTTATTTCTTTTGGTTCCCAGGTAAAGTTACACAACTGTAAACATGGAGACTGTATGTATCAAAGAACACTGATTTCTGGTAAGCAGTCTTCTACAGCCTTTCACTGCAGTGCAACATACTGCATCTTGTAAAACGACACTAAACTCTTTCTACTGTGATTATAAGTGTTATGATTATTACACAGTGACAGAACAGGGCTACAGTGGCTTATCTAAAATGTCTGAATTTGCTTTAATATCCCAAGGCCCTAAAACTGGAACCTCAGACAAAGGAAATCTGATGTTATTTCTATTGGAAAAAGACCATACAAAGGGGAAATTAGCTAATTAAGCTGAGTCCTTCCCCAAATGATTATAAAGGAGAAGAGGAGGCAGAAGATTTTGATCAGGTGTGTTGTGACTAATCTCTGTAGTGCTGTGCTTTGACGCAAGTTTCTACTGCCTACTTTCACCAAAGTTAGTTTGCAGGGAATGAAGTGGGTATTTACTTTTTCTGTAGTGTTTGGCTATATGTTTGTCTATTGCATTATCGTTTACCTGTTAAAAGGTAAAACTGAATTTCTCAATTCTGCCTGTGGTAAAGGCTTTGGGGTGTGTACTTAGTTACCACCTATCGCTCCAGAAATATTTGTTGGGGAGGGCGAGATAAAATGAATGATGTGATGGCCTGAGCTTTAGGAGCACTAAGTGCTGTCCTCAAGGCATGGAGAGATTTATGAATGCTTTTAAAGTAAAGCAGGGTGCTGTTTCTTGCCCTGGCCATTTACTTTTGGGGGCCTACACTGAGACAGTAGTCTGAAGGTTTGGAATTCCTTATTACATAAGAAAATGTGCTGTATTTCCTGTTTCCATGGCTGGTGTAAAATGGAAAGCAAATTCCTCTAATTTACGCAGGGGGACTGGGAAAGCATTTTCTGGTCGCGTTCTCAATTTTTCTATCGCTTTCTCTGTTCATTAGGTAGTTTACAAGATTAAATACTTAACTGTGACTTCAGTTATCACTATATGGATTATTATGTTGATACACTTCCAATTGCTAGGGTAATGTATTATGATTTTGTTGATATGCTACTTCTGAAAACCAGGAGAGCCTTAGAGAACTGGCTTAATCAAATTATCTTGTAGGTCTGAAGCCAAAAGAAGGCAACATTCAAGCTACACATGCTGTTCAATACCAAAGTAATTGAGATACACAGAAAAACCTGTAGTTTATCTTTGTTTATGTTGTTTAGTAGAATCACTTGCCTTTTGGGAGTTACTTGTTTTATTCCTTCCGTGTCCTGCCAGATCTTGGCAAAAAAGTTGCTGCATTGCTGAATGAGTAATGCTTTACTGAAATACTGTAGAATTTGATCTGTTTGAAAATAATACAGGTCAGAATTCTCCAGGAGTCAGACTTTCATATTATTTTTTTTTTTTGCATTGAAGCTCATTATGTCCCCAACAGGCTTTGTGATGCAAGATCAATTGTACCAATGCATTGTCTGAGTGCTACAATTCTAACTTTGTAGTTTTCTATTTTGCATAAATTGGCTTTCTAGGGAGAAGGAGAAGGGTATGGCTACAAGTGAGCTGTCGTATATGCAGGTTGCTCTGTATGCTGCACAGTCACTACAGCTACACAGCAATGTCAGCCAAGCTTGTCCAGATTTGTTTGTGAAATGTGCACATATTTTGTGAGCTTTAGGCATTTCTGTATTACTGAGTGTACTGAAGTTCTTGACTTATCCTCTGGCCTGATTATATGCTGCCACTTAATCTAATATTGCTCCGAGGAAGTTAATCCTCTGTCTCTGAGCTGCTGTTTATTTCTGACTCATGAGTTGTAGCCAGGTAAAAAGGTACAGAATCAAGTCTAAAATAAGGTACCACATTTCATAAGCCAGTTGAGTAAGGTCTGCGGGGAAAAAAGTTCCAAAGCCCAGGCTTTGGGAAAGTCTTTCACCTTTAATGAAGGACACAACTCAGGAGGTGACAGAGGTTTTCTGAATTCTGCATAAGTTTTTTTTTTTTTTAAGAAGGACTTGAGCTTTGCTTTTTTCACGCGTGTGTTCTTTAAAAATTTTTACCACTGTAGTACCATTCCAAGATCTACAGGGGAGGGGAAGTAAGCAGAGGTAGCATTTTGTTTACCTCTTCTTTTGAGCTATGGGAGGAAGGAAATCTTACAGCCCAAGTATGGCAGTTCGAGCTGTTTCAAAAGCAGTTTGACAGACTTGTGCATCAGCAGCGTATTTCTCATTGGATAGGAGCGTCCATTCTAAGAGTGGGCTGTGATGAGCACTCACTCAGAAGTGGGTTCATGGCTGATGCCGTTACACTTGAATGAGCACTAATTATTGATAGATTGACTCATACTTCTGTAGTTTTGCTTTGCATAATGGTTTACAAATACCGAGGCATTTATTCAAGAAAGCACATGGATCCTTCAAATTCATGGTTGAAAAGGGCACCCCAACATCAGATTTAATGCCAGTAAATTCTGCTTAGAGTGCCAAGTTTGTAGTTCTCTAGTTTTACAATGTAGCCCCAACTTGTTTTTCAGAAGTAACATATGTTTCTTCTGGAAGACTTCTGGAGTTCTTGATAAGACAATGGGGCATCTGTGTTTAACTTAAAAATGACTCTTGAGTGAGAACTGCAGAATTAATATTTTCAGTTTTTTTCTTTTTACGATAATCTTTCTATTCATCATTGTATGCTTCACTGAAGGAGACTTATACATGGATAGTTACCATTTTTTTTTCTTCATTCTTTTTCTGAATTCTTCTTACTTCAGTGTTTGCTTTTATTTTTTGTATTCTCTTTTTACAGTTTGACTGTTTGACTTAAATTCATCAGATCTTCTCACTTCCTGTAATATTTTTTTCTGTAAACTAGTTGCCTTTTTTCCAGCAACTTTGCAGGAAGGCTAAATATGTTAAGGAACGTCCTTTTTCTCTCTAACATTTCAACATGTATTTAACTAACCTCCTTGATTTATTTAGCGGTCTGTATGCTGACATAGCATGACTTTTGTTTCCAGTAAATGAAAGAAAAACACATCCGCTCATATGGTATTTAGACTGAAAAATAGCCTCAGTCTACAACAATTCTCACTATTTAGTAGTTTTAAGTACTTAATTTCACATTTTTATTATATTTTATCAGATGGAAAATGAATACAGGCCTTTTATCCGTTCAGTAGTTCTTTGGATATGGGTTGTTTGTTCAGGTGGGACTTTTGCTGATGTCTTTTTCATAGTATAATGTTGGGCTTTCTATTAGAGGCATTGGTTGAAATGTTGGACTGATGTTTTTCCTGCAAAGTGCTGTGTAGTCCTTGAAGAATCACTGTAATACAATCCAGTGAACTGCTAACATTGGTAAAAATTAACCTGCTTACCAGTAAATGTGCAGGGATATTTTTCAGCTTACTGTATATGTTGTGGTTTTTAAAAATAAAGTAGGCTTTTGAAGACCCATATACAGCTTGTGGCATAAAGTTTTGAGGTGAGCAGAGGTCTTTTGCAAGGTCAGAAGCAGTAAATTAATGGCTTTCAACCTGAGCTTTGTGAGTACTTTCTGAGCAATCCACAAAAAGTAATTTAAAAAGCAGATGTACTATCAGTGGGTTTATATTTGCTGCCTGTGGTTGTGTCCTTCCATTGGAATATTTTAATGTCTCTGAAATGATCATTTGAGAATCCCTGAACTAAAAATAAAGGTTTATGTAAAACATTTGCTAAAAGGAAATGAGTTTATCAAAGTGAGGATTTTTTTTCTTCTTTCTGTTCTTGCTTGCATGGACTGTTGAGCCTTGAAGCTCTGCAGTATACAAATGTTTGAGCCTCTGTCTTTTATGATAGGCTTGTAACTTCACGTTTCCCTATGTGAGAGTAGCCACATGGCTTTGCATATTCCCATTGTGTTCTAATAATTCTAGATTTTTATGTAATCTATGATAGATCTGGTTAAAGGGTTTAATTGCTTTTTTTTTAGGAATTGCTTAAACATGAAATCTACATTTTCAAAACACCTGAAGCCTGTCTAAAAAGCTGATGGGACCCCATGAAACTCCTTAATGCTGTAATGTCTGCAGCTGTCCATGCCCGAACTCTGGTTCAGATGAGCAGAAATGAGCCTAGCTCTTGCATAAGTTCTCTTGATGCTTGATTGAAAATGGAAGTGTGTGAGGAGAGGACACAAAATGAATGATTAAAAGCAGTGTAAGTTCTGGGAGAGAAAAATGTGAGTGGTGTGGTATATAGCCAAAATCTAAGGGGCCTTCTCTGTCACTGTCACTCTAGCCCAGAAGGCTTGATGCTCTTTTCTTTTTCTTCCCCCTAAGATTGTGTAGCTGCTCTTGGATGTATACTACTTTTTCTGTCTTTCTCATTGTTTTTTCAAGCTTTTCAAAGTGTACACAAATCAAAATAATTTATATGTCTAAATATTCCATTCTCTTACTTGTCTACAGGGATCCTCAACATCTGTGTTCATGTATATTTTATTGCTGCTTTTTTTTTCTGCATGCATAGAAGCCGAATTTATACTCTGACTTACCTTTATGCTCAATGCATAAATAAGCCTTGTCAATGTGATCAATACCAATTAAGTTTATTTGCAAACACAGAGCTCACACTGAAGCAAAGGATTTTGAGCAGGAACAGGACAAGTAATAGTCATGATGTGAAAATACTAATGTTATCTAGTGATAGGGATGGTCAAGTCTCTTGCCTTTGAGGTACTTTTAATTTCAGTTGTCAGTGTGATATAGCGCTGTTGTTTGGTATTTTAAAGGAAATTTATTTTCTAACACTGTCATCAGAGGCTGCCTTCTGCTTTCATCTAAATTTTTAAGTATTATTGTTCTGATAAAGAGTATGTTGGTGGGAGAATATGATTGACTGAGCTAATACAACTAGTGAGCATCTTGAAGTGTTTTTTCTATAGTACTTTTGGTTAATTTCTTTACCCTTTCCTCTTCTACCCCCCAAAATACCTTTAGAATGACAACATTACAGATTTAAAAGGGAAACTACACTTATCACCATTAGAAATTAAAGATTAGGAAGCAGCTTCTAACATGAAAAAAGTTGCCAGCTTCAGCAACTGGGTCTTACTTACCAGAGCATGTTAAGTATAATGTTGGTCAGAACCAGACCGACTTACTGAACAGTTTAAGTTTCTTAGAAGAAGTTAGCACTTCTTGTGAGTCTCCTGGACATGCAATCTGAATTAGGTTGTTTGCTTATTCTAATAAAAATGTTGATCAAACAGCAGTCTTCTCAGGATTATGTGTCTACTGCATGAAAATTAGGTAGTCTAAGCAATTTCCAGGAAACAGGAAACCTGGACACTGGATCTTTCATGAGGCTTTCTCTACAGCTGTTTTCTTCATGTTTGTCTGTGCTTTGGGTGATTGTGAACATCAGATGATTGGAGGGGGGACTTTGGCCCGCTTGGGGGATACTTTGTGTAAAGACAAATTAGAGGTTGAAGCATACCTTTAATCTCTTTCAAGATAACTAATCAAAAGTGATCCTTTCTCTGGTACTGTTTTAATCTGACTCTCATAAAATTTTCATTTCCACACATGTTGTTTATGATTCATTTATCTTTCTATTCTGTTGCATGCCTGAAGAATCTACCTTGGCAATACAAGTCTCTCTCCATTTCTCTCCAAAATGTGCACTGGATGTTGTATTGACCTCATGTGCCTTTATTACTGTGGTGAGGCAGTGTTCCCTCCTGGTGTTGGATATGCAGGCCATTCACTGTCTGAGCCTGTAAGTACCAGGGTTGTGAATGATGCAGCTTTCTTGTTAGGGTGCTCCAAAAGCAGCGCTGAACCCAACCAAGGATACTGGAGCTCAAGCTCCACAGCAGATAACCCAATCAAAAGTATCGAGCTTCACTTTGCATTTATTTTTGTTAGCAACCTCCTCCTCCCTGATCGCTACACCCCCCCCAAATAAACAGGTCCCCAAACCTCATCCATCAGAATGTGTTCTTTGGTTTTCAGCTGTTGGTGCAAATGACCCCATTACTTTCCAGCTTTGTGTAGGCCGTAGGCCTAGTGAGGCCTTCCCAGCTTATGTTTCAGTATAAGCAGGCTCAGTTTTAGCTTCAGCTGTCTCAGTCAAGGGTCTGCCTAAGAAATCCTCATAGTCTCTGAAGGCACTGGACCAAACGGACTCTGGGTGCTGAAGACTTCCTGAAGCTTGCTGTCTTAGCATGATGGGACACAGCATCAACATTTTTGTCAGGCTTTTATAAAGACTGCTTTAGTGCTGCTGAATTTGATCTCTCCACCAATTTAGGAACTCTACAAAGCAGAGGATAAATTCACTGCAGTTTTCCTTCTGCCTAATAGCAGTAGAACTTTGTTCTTTAGTTTTACACTGCTGTGTTTCTGGTACAGCCTAATCATAAACTTTCCTTCTCTGGAGGGAAAGAATTAACACCAGAGTCCTTCTCCAGCACAAACTTAGGAGCAAGGCTCTTTAACTGAGGGGCTTCACCTTTGGAAAGTCTCTCAGCAGCACAAAGATCCTGTACCAGTAGAGATGGGAAGGCTTACTCTCGAATTCCTGTTGCCAATACAGATTCTATTTGTCAGGACTATTACTAGGAACATCTTGGTTTTCCACCAAGACTTGGTATAATTACCTACAGCTTAAGGTTAGCTCGAGGGGGTTGATACTGGGTCTGGTACAGAGGCTTGGAGTAGCAGGACTCTGTCTGTCTGCCTTTTTGGGGAATGTCAAATCAAGTTTTGCTTCTTACAGTAGCATAATTTATATGTCAGTAAAAATAACACAATATATTCGTATAATGAAAATATAAGAATTAGTCTTCTGATACTAATAATCTGGCGATAGACTAAGCTAAATGTTACTGAATGGAGATTTCTAGTTTGGAGAACAGATTTGTGTCTTTCTTCCTTCAGTAAGCATGTGTTGTTCCTATTAACTTTGAAGGAATTTGTTTGCAGGTGTTTAAAAAAAAAGATGATGTAGAAGATGGCAGTTGGAATGGTAGTTATTAGTTTGCATTTAGCTCTGCAGTAAAATGCAATATTTATACACCAGTAATCATTTTCAAACTGCTACTGAATAGTAGATCTAGAAACACTTTTGTAGGTTGGCTGCTATTCACCCTTTCACTGCAAAAACTGTAGCAAAGAGCTACTTTGTTCAGGACCACAAAAGTAATCGGTGGTGATGCTGTGATTAAAATGGTTAAGACTGCAACTGCATGTCTGTGTCTACAGCTGGAAGAATGTATTTTTTAGATGGTTGCTCCTGAGGGTGGCAGTACCTGTGCGCTTTCACAACTGATAGAGCCAGAGATATTAAGGTCAGATGCATTTAGTGCCTTCTTACCGCTTATGACTGTAAGACATAGCACCTACAGTGGTTGTGTCTGTCAGGATCACGATCTTGATTTTGTTTTCTTCAGTCTTACCTTTTTATTAGCTGTTACTACATTTGATGTCTCACAGTTACTGCTTTTAACTGCATTTGGATCCTTCTGTCACTGTTTATATGTGTTACTTCATAGTAAAACTTATTTCTGTTGAAGTATACAACTGCATCATGTACTACATCTCAGTCTATTTTTGTGTGAGAGTCAGTCTGGTTCTTCTCTGTTTTGATGATTTCTATTTTTTTATAGCAGAAAAGTACAAATCTTTGACAACTTTATTGTTAATGGGAGTATTAAATATAAATTGGCTACAATCCATCATAGGTATTGTGACTTCCATATCTTATTGTTTTGCCTAACTTTGTAATTTTTTTTTTTAACCTTTGTGCATGGTCTGTGTCTTAATTCCCTGAAGACACTTCACTAAGCATAAATGAAACTTGATTTTTATGAAGTCATCAGATTGATCTGTCATGGCTTATCTTAGTAAGCCTACATGTTCTCATTTTTCACTTTTATTTCTGTATTTTTTCATGAGTACAAATGAGATGAACTGAGAGAGGAACTATTTTCCTTAGGCCTTAACTTTATCCTTCATCAAAAAGGCACGTAAAATTGGATGAAAAAGTTTTCATTGGTGTGACTCATCAACAGCTCTTGCTGTTACAACTTTCTGTCCTGACAAGCCCAATCTCATTTTACCCTGACATAGCCATCAGTTTTAAGTGCAGTTACTGTCTTGATCTTCTGGTTCAGAAGGTGTTTGATAGCAATCAGCTCAAAACCAGCACTGGTGCATGTTATATTCATCCGCTTGGAAAACAGGCTGCTGAAATCATGTGTGGAATCTTACTAGATTAGTTGCTTTTACTGATTTTTCTAAAACAACAGGCAACAACTTGTTGATTAGTGAACAAATATGAACAAACCCAAGACAAAATACTTTCTCTACCATATGCAGGAAAATGCATATTGAGCAATGTGTGTACAAACACACTACCTCCACCGTGGCAATCAAATCACTTCTCTACCAGTTAAGTAAGTATAATCAAAGTTTGTTAGTCCAGGAACAACGCAGTAAACGTTGCTGGTTTCTGTCTCTTATCACTGAATCATGAAAAGCGATCACAAAATCAGACCAGTCTTGCCAAATAAAAAAAGCAATTCAGAATGGATATACAGAAAAGGCTGCTTGAGACAGTTTTCTACACAGCAACATGAATTATCTGGGTTTTTTTCTTTTTATCCCTAGTTGAAAGATTAGTGACAGCCCTTCTCCAGCCCTAAGACTGAAGGACTTTCCTCTGCATCACCTTACGCAGAATACTACTTTGCTTCAATATGTCGATACACATAATTCATACCACTAGAGTTACATAAAATAGGAAAAGGTGCTAGGGAGAGCAGTAATTACTACCAATTAGGTAGTGTTCTCCAGCCATAGTAATGCTTGGATGTTTGGCCTGCACTGCGTCTGTCATGCCACATTGATGGGACAGCAAGAGCCATAAGATTAGGTAAAAATCAATACACTTTTTCAGCTAGGGCCAAG